ACCTCCCACCCAGCCCATGCTTGTCCCCCAACACTCAGGTGCTTTCAGATTTCAGAGTTCCGGGCAGTGGACATAGGGAATCTCTGGCAAGCTTTGGGCTAGATATACCACCAGCTCAGGGAGAGTGCTAGATCCTGATGAAAATTATTTCTCTTCTGGTCCTTTGCTCTCCTACTGCATGTAGGGAGCCTTCTTCTCTAGTGAATTCTACTACCCTCTCCCTGAGAATCGCTGTGCTCTGTATTGAGAGCACCTGCCTGCTGACTTAGCTCAAAGGCAAGCCAGATCCTTCCCTATGACTGGCAAGATGTAATGTTTATTTAGAGCAATGTCCAGTCTAAGAGATTATTCCTCATTACTGCTGATTATCTGTTACTGCTGCCCTGAGCTGGGGCACAAGGGCTGGGAAATCTGTTGGTGCTACCCTGCCCTACCATTCACTCAGCTCACTGACTGCCAACAGGATGTGCTGTTTGGCCAGTTCCTTTCCATTCACCCCTCTATCCTCTGTCCCTCTACCAGTTGTGTTTACCTCTCTGCTTTGCCAACATAGCCAGCAGCTTTAGCCAACAGGCCTCTCCTGGCCCAAACGTCTCCTGGCCATTCTGTCTCAGTTATGGCTTTTACGCCCTCAACAGGATTCTGTATTTTATCCCAATTTCCTCCTCCTAATTTACTATTGAGGTTACTTCCATCACCTCCAAGGAGGGAACAATAGTTGTTATAAAGGAATTTGCGCTTTATATAAAGGTTTAAAAAAGAATTTGTTTTTATTTCCCAAAGTGTGTCTCTGGAGTTGAGACACTTGAACTCAGGCAGAGGCACGGGGTTAGGCAGGGCTGCCCTGAATTTTAAGGCCTGTCCCTACATCTCACTTAGACCTCGGAATCTCCTCTGTAAATTCTGCCTGCCTAGTTCTCCCCTTTCATCTCTCTTTCTCCGCATCACCAGAGAGGAAAAACTCTGTTCAAAAGGAAGAGAAAACAAAGCATCTTATTTTCTTTTAAAAGAATTTTAAACCATGGAAAAGATATTTTTAAAGAAGTCCACCCAGAACATTAAAGTTCATTATATTAAGTATTTATCATGTGTGAGAATAAGTATATAACTGCAGCTAGTAGGTCCCTTTCCCTAATCTCTTAGGTTGTATGAGTAGGATTTGCTTGGTGCCAGTCCTGTGCCCTATTTTCTCCTGTCATCGTAGTTGTGATCAGAAAAAGATACCTGCACTGCACTGTCAGAATCTCCTTTCACTATGTTGTGTGTTAAATTACCGTAGCTCTTTGTTTCATGAAATAAACTGTGAATTTTTTTTGGGGGGGGGGGTTGTTCAGACTGTGTAAAAAATTTTAAGTGGAGAAGTTAGATCATGAAGTAGCTTCTCTGAAGTAGGCTTTGATAGATAATTGACTTGGCACCCACTCTAGATATGTCTCACAGGACAGGAAGGAGTGAGGGAGAGGTGGGCCATGATTGGCCACTTTGTGGTTTGTTTTGGTTCTTTCCATTCTCCACCATTCGCTGGAAACGTCACTCCAGAACTGCCTGGGAAAACAACTTCTGAGCTGTGCTTGGTTTGGGGTGGGTTGGGGTGGGGGCAATCTTTTATCTAAATACATAATCAACCAGGCTTTCGTGAGGGCCATTTCAAGACCCTCAGGTTAAAATGGAAATAAATTGAAATGTCAGGCTGACTGATCACAGCATCTGATGATAGATTTAGTTAACATCATGAAAGGGTCAAAAAGAGTCTTCCCAACAGACTCTTGCATGGCATCAGGGAGGGAGTGATCTTGCCAGCCCTTGGAGACTCTCCTGGAACCTTTACTGAGACTTTTTCTCCAGGGGGTATGAGGCAGTTTAGAGGAAATCTTCCCCGAAACTCCTGATGTTTATGGAAAATATTCTGGTATTCAGCCAAGTGCCCGGATATCAGGAACATGAGTCTGCCTGTAAGCTGGTCCCAAAGAAGCCTTTCTGAGGGGGAAGCCATAATAGCTTCCATAGGTAGCCAGAGAACCATTACCTCTCCTAATCTTCCTAAAGTCAGAATTTTTTTTTTTTTTAAATCTGAATTCAAAGCCTCATTTTCTTCTTGTCGGATTGACCATACTCTTAATAGCAAAATAGCTGTTGTTACTACAAAAGCATCCAAGGTTTTAAATGTCTGCTTCCCCCTAAAATTACTGATTTTGGGGTGATTGAAATCACCATGTTGACCCTCTTCTGAACAACTACCAAACCTACATCTTTAGCATTGATGAAAATAATTATTTTATTGACTTCCTCCACCCCACACTACGGTCAGGGCATGAAGTGCAGCAGTGATTCTTTCTCGGGCTTGGCAGTACCTACTCACTGGAGCTGGACTCCCAGGTGGCCTTGTGAGAACAGAGCGTCAGAAAGGTACTCTGGTCCTGGCAGCTTCCCCTGTGGAGAAGAATCAGGAGAGCACTAATTGTGGATGGATTTTTGCCCTCTGCGCCTGTAAAGTGGGTTTCTCCTAAGGCTTTTTGGGGGTTATTGTTTCCTTCTTGGGACTTGTCAGTCAGGAGATCAGAGTGGCCCAGTGTCCTAACCTCTCTGATATTGTGGCAAGAAAGGAGCTGCCACTAGCCCCTTTCGTTTCCTGCCGAATGATGTTTGGGCTGTTCCCTGTGTTAGACATTCCAGATCATTTAGAGCTAGGTAGCTGCTGCATGAGGCTTCTCATTGGCTGTGGCCAGTTAGCTCTCAGCTGAGCTTCCTAGGGCCAGTGCAGCAGGGACAGAGGTTGCTGTAGAATAAATTGAAGTAAGAATAGATAATTGCTTTGTACACACACACAAAATGTAATGATGGTGCTAATTTCCTGGTATAAATAAGCACTGCCAATGGTTGAGGGCCTGGTGACTTAAGAAACCCAGGTTCCTGATTGAGAAAAGATTTTATGTAGAATGGTTTCTTGAGGCTATATTGGGGGGTGGGGCGGGGGGAGAAGGCAGAGCTCTGATGAAGCCTGCACCCAATCCTGGAGTGGTCCGGTGAGATGCAGAGGTGGAAAAGATGCTGTATCCAGAGGGTGGCCATTGAGTTTCTCAGGGCTAGTGTCACCTTGTCCATAGCTTCTGTCCACATTGTTTGATACAGGTTGGTAGAGAGCTCCAGGTGTGGGGGCCCCCTCAGTTATCTTCTGCCCCTCTCTACCTCTTCTACTCTCATGAGAGCTTCTCTATTGCTTATGAAGGTTAAGGGGAATGTTTCTTAAGGATGTGGAAAGAGTTTATTTTAATTAGAAATCCACAACCTTGGAAGAAGTGTTTCCTACCAACATAAGCAAAATCAGCATGTTAAAGTCTCCTACATGTTCCCTTCTCTAGAGCTGCTCTCCTGTGACTTTCAAAACATCAGGCCATTGAGAGCCTTTAGGTCTAACACCCTGGGAGTCAACCAAAGTCTTGTGGACAGGAGGTGAGCCCAGGGAGTAGAAGAAATGGTTCTGGTACTTGTATTTCCAGGGAAGGGGCAGAGAATAGGGGGTCTCCAGGTGTGAGGTTGGGCGCTGCCTGTGTGTGCATGTAGGTGAGAGTGTTGAAATGGGTGAGTGCAGTACACAGGAGCTCATGGAAGAGCAGCTTTCTAAATCTTGGCAAAGAAACAAGCTGACGAGATCTATCTATATTTTTAGGAAAGGGGGGCGGTCAGCTGAGGTCCATCTGTTTTTTTGCCCCAACCCCATAGATTGTCAGCTGTAAGTGAAACTCCTAGTGAAAAAGAGGGGAGCCCTGTGCTAGGAGTCCCCATAAACATGTACTGTAATTCTTTGTATATAGAAAAAAATTACTGTAAAGTAAAGTTTAACTTTACTCTTATGGCCCTTGCCCTGTGTTTTGTTTTATTGTCCGTGGGGAGATGTAGACTCTCAGGAGGGAGGATGGGTTTGGGTGAGAGCAGAAGGTAGCCCCTGAGAGTTCCCAGGTGGGGACTGAGCCCTTCTTCAAGCACCTCACAGAAGTGGTATGGGTTTCCTTCCAGTAACCACCAGCTGCCAGAACGGTATCTGTCTTTTGGTGGGGGGTGGAGCGGGGGTGGGGTGAGGCTGGTGTCAGTTTCAGTCCCTACACAGGAAATCTCCATCACCCATGGAGGAAGGATATTTTGAGGAATTGGTTTTAAAAAAGGAAGTGGAACCAGGCACTTTCTGAGTGTGAGTCAGACCATCTTAACCAAGATTTTAGTTCTTCAGAGGCAGGTGCTAGGGCACTGCAGAGTACCCAGCGTAAGCCAAAGGCACTTCTTGCATGCTAGAAAGGGCTGCCATATTTCCTTCAGTCTTGTCTACAGTAATACCTGATACTTCAGATTCTTGGACCTCACGAAAATATACTTTGAGGGAACCTTGGGAGTTTGTTTGCCTTCCCTTCTGACCAAATCCTGAACTTCATGCACCGTCAACACTTTTCTGGGGAAAAGTGTGGGACAACATTTAGTACTACAATTACTTTTCACTCATGACCGTCACAGTCCGAACTGATCACCGTATTTTACAGATGAACAAGACCAAGTCCTTATAAGTGAGTAGGAGAATTGGATCTGAATCTGTATCCATTAAGATCTGTCTTGGGGAACCTGTGATTTTTCTACCATTAAACCAAACTGTAGGTGGCTGGGATGCTTAGGGTCTAAGCCATAGGCATGACTAATTGACCTATACAAGAGATGTAGCAGAGCCAGCCAGTCTGAGAGGTGATGGCCCTTTGATCTCTGGAAGACACTTTAGGGCCTTCCTTTTCTCAGCACTTAGAAAGTTGTGAACTTTGCAATGCCCCAACCCCAGCCTCACTTGGATCTTTGCCCCCACTAAATAGGGAAGGGCAGCAATCCTGGGGTGGTTATTTCGCTTTCAAAGGAAAATTAAGAGACGGGAGGAGCCTTTATACAGAAAGTGAGGTCAGGCAGGTGCCCCCAGAAAGAACTAGGTGTCTTGACACCCAATCCATACAGCAGGGAAAGGGGCGGAGTGTGATTCACAGTGCATTGATTTTTATTTACAGATCAGAAGCCACTTAAATCATCTGCAGACACAAGTGTTATCCATGGCAGAACCCTGGGGTGCAAATTAGCCCTTCCCCTCTTTATGCCCGTCAGTCAGCCCAATGCTGCCTCTGTTCCATGGGCCAGCACAGGCAGGTGCCACCTCTGCTGCCACAGAGACCTGGGGTAGCTCAGACATTTGACCACCCGAGCCCAGACAAGAGCTGGGTCTGACCTCTTTGGGGAATTCCTTTAATTCCCCCAGGCCAGTTAAGCGGTGATTCAGTGATGACAACAGCTGTAGAAATAGGGGTTTGCTTTCTGGCCCAGGTCCACGCCCTTGTCCTCTGTCAAAGAAAAAGATGGCAGCTCAGCACCACTGAGTTGGGGCATCAGTAACTTGTGAAGGGGGTCCAATGCTGTGGGCCTAGAGGAAGTCTCCAGAGAGGCTGGGGCAGCACACACCTGTCATGACCTGGAAGGCAGCCACGCTGACGTAATCCTCTGCCACTTTCTGGAAGAGCTCGTCTGGCAGGAAAAGGGATGATCAGTAAGGGCCTAATACCAGTAGCCCTGTGATCACCCAGTGACCCAGCACTCTAGGTTCTTCTCTGCTGCCTCTGCTGCCTCTGCCTATCCTCTGATAATCCAGGACAGCACTCACCCACACTCTGTCCTGTCTTGCTGGATGTTTCAAAGAGCTGAGCTTTGATATCTGTAAAGAGAAGTGACTAAAGCCTTATAGCTGAAAATCAGGTAGACACAAACAGGAGCTTAACAATCTTTTGGACCCCACCGGTTCAAGGAGGCCAGAAAGGAATCTTGCCATGGCAGTTAATGCAGTCCTACATTCTGCCACCCACCCAAGCAGTCACTTCCCAACCCCACCCCAGGGACTGAGGAGCAGCTACTTTCTGCATAGTCCTGGACATCGTGGAAGTCCACTCGTCGCCGCCGCCTGTCCTCTTCCAGCAGGTCACTCTTAGTGCCACACAGGTAGATCTGGCAGCCCTGTAACAGAAGACAATGTGAGGGTCACCTCACAGGACACCAGTGCCCCTGGTCCTCTGGTGAGACCTAGCCACCTACCTCCTCTAGATTGCGGAGCTCCTTCACCCAGAACTTTGCTCTCTCAAAGCTACTGCTGTCCGTGAGATCTTGGTATGGGAAACGCAGAAAATACAAGAGTTACAGGCTGGTCTTTAAGGCCAGTATGGCACCTTGTTTGAGGAGCAGGCCTTAACTCTCCCTTACCATAGCACACAATGGCAGCCTTGGCGCCCCGGTAGTAGATACGGCTCATGGCCTCGTAGCGTTCTGAGCCTGCGGTGTCCTGAAGGGTAAAGAAAGGCGCAGTCCATGTCAGTTACAGATTGCTCCTCAGTACTCCAACTAAGTTAAAGCCAAGTCCTTCAGACCCCCCCATTTTTAAACTGGGGTCTAGATTTGAGAAATGGCCTCTATGAGGCCACAAGTCAGCCAGTAATAAAGGTAGGTCCTAAACCTCCTCCGGAAAGGGTTTTCCCCGGATTACTTGCCCAGGGCACTTACCCAAATACCCAAAGTCACCGTCCGGTCTCCGACTGACATCACCTTGGCCACGAAGGCGGCCCCAATGGTCTGTATGAGGCAGGGATGAACCATCAGGGCCGCGGGTGGGGGCTAGCCCCCTCCCCGCGTGCCCGCTCCTGTGGGTCACACTCACGTTCTGATAGGGCCCCACCAGGAAGCGGTCATGCACATAACGCTCCACCAGGCTCGTCTTGCCCACATACTCCTTGCCCAGCATCACCACCTTGACGTCCACGCGCTGCCCGCTCATACTCCCAGGGCCGCCTCACCCGTGTCAGGGTCCTGAGTGGGGACGCGAAGCACACCCGATCTCTGGTCTGGCAGCGCCCAAACCTCAATCCCTGAGCTCAGGTGCCAAGCTACGACTCCAGACGCGCCGGGCTCGAGGTTCCACAGCACCCAGGTCTGCCCTGCTCTTCGGCCCCTGGCGCCGATCCCCGTCCAAGAACCGGTGGCCGGGGCGGCCCGGGGGCGCACGCCACCGCCCAGCTAGCTCGCTCGCCGAGCCAAGCGCCGCCCAGGTTGGGGTTCCCCCACCAATCTAGGGTCCCCTCCGAGCGCCTGCGGCCCGCAGCGCCGCGACTCTCACAGGGAGAGGGGGTAGGGTGATGAGGGGGCGGGGCCTGAGTCACGTGAACCGGCACCGGAAGTGCCGGGCTTTGCCCTGCTGCGCCGGAAGTGGCGCGCAGCCCGACCGCTCCTCATGGCGGCGGCGGTGGCGGCGGGTTGGGCGCAGCCGGGTGGTCACTGATCTGCGAGCCTGGCGGGTGAGCGTCGAACCGTCCCGGCTTCCCCGTGCCTGCCGGGCTCCATACTCCTGATGCTGCAAGGGTGCTGAGCCCGCCCCGGCCGGGACGATGGTGAAGTATTTTCTGGGCCAGAGCGTGCTCCGGAGTTCCTGGGACCAAGTGTTCGCTGCCTTTTGGCAGCGGTACCCTAATCCCTATAGGTACGTGACCCTGTAAGGAGCAGCCCTCGTCCGTCGCTCTTTGGAAATAGAAGTGCGGGGCTGGGAAGGTCTCGACATTGAGCCCAAGGGAGGGGCATTGTCGGAACCGTGGCCACCTTTAGGGCAGGAGAACCCTGTAGGAGAAGTGGCCTAACCTGCAAGGTACTGGAAGGAAGCTGGCCCCGGGCGGTGATCTGTTTGAGGCCCTAGTCCAAGGTTCTCCTGTTTCAGGGTAGTGAGGCAGGGAAAGGCGGTGGCGTAGGAGTTGGGAGGGATGTTGAATACGTGCGCTGGAAGTCAAGGAATCCAGGTCACCCAAGGGGCGGGAGTTGGAATTTGCCCTGGGGTAGACTCAAGCGAGTCTCTGTCTGAGCCACAACAGAGATTACGCTGCAAGAGTGGTGGAAGGTATGTATGGCTGTTCTGGTCCTGGAGGTACCAGATGGCAACTCCGCAACAGTCTCAGGGCCAGACTCCCCAGCGTCACCTTTACTCTGACACCTGCAGCAAGCATGTCTTGACCGAAGACATAGTACACCGGGAGGTGACCCCTGACCAGAAGCTCCTGTCCCGGAGACTCCTGACCAAGACCAACAGGATGCCCCGCTGGGCAGAGCGACTGTTTCCTGCCAATGTTGCTCACTCGGTGTACATCCTGGAGGATTCTATCGTGGACCCACAGAACCAGACCATGACCACCTTCACCTGGAACATCAACCATGCGCGGCTGATGGTGAGGCCCTCTCCAGCCCCCACCCCAAGTAGAAAGTGCCTGTGTTGGCAGGCAGATCTTGGTTGCTGAGGAGTGATCATGAAGTTCAAATTCCAATGATCTTTTCTTTTGATCAGCCTGTCTGGACTTGTCCTTTGCTTCTCATACCAAGAGGAAAGGGTACCTTGTTTTAGTTACGAAAAAAAAGTACTACATGCAGAGCACTGGTGATGTGCCTAGCCCACGTGTGTGTTGGGCCTATGGGAATTGTACAGAGAGAGGAAGGGCCGCAGTGGTCTTCAGACAGGAAGCATTTTTTAAGTGTTTCTGTTGACCACTTTCTCTCAAATGAGAGCTGTGGTGATTGCTAGGTCTCCATTTCTATTTGAATTGCCAAGGAGCTTGAGCTGCATTGGGTGGATGGCAGGCTACAAACACTGCACATGTCTAGACAGAAAGCTTCAAAACAAAGTCCAGGCCTAAGGCCCTCTGCTGATACCAGGAGTCCATAGGCCTTCTTGCCAGAAGGGAGCCTAGTCACCTATTACCTTCGCTATCTTCCTGAAATGCAGCTTAGGATTGCAATAAGGGAAAGGGATGGATTTTTGTCTATTGCATTCCCTCATGAACAGGGGCAGGATGTAAAAGTTATGTGCAGGTTGGCAAAATGACACTCCCACACAATTGTGGTTGGCCTGGCCCCCTGCACAGGTGGTGGAGGAACGATGTGTTTACTGTGTGAACTCTGATAACAGCGGCTGGACCGAAATCCGCCGGGAAGCCTGGGTCTCTTCGAACTTATTTGGTGTCTCCAGAGCTGTCCAGGTGAGCAGCCTGGTGGGAATGCATAGGGGCTGGGCTGGGGGTGGAGGGTGTCAGTGGGCAGCTCAGAATCCTTTCCCTTCTTTCATCTTGCCAGGAATTTGGTCTTGCCCGGTTCAAAAGCAATGTGACCAAAACTATGAAGGGTTTTGAGTACATCTTGGCTAAGCTGCAAGGTGAGGCCTCTGGGCAAGGGTGTGGGGCTTGGGGGACACTCCCAGGCAGAGGCTGGGGTCAGGTCCTGGCTGCCCTGACAAGTGTGGAGCCTAGGACTCCTCATCTCTCCCCTCAGGTAAATACCATCTTTTCAGTGGGGTGACTGTTGTGGGGACGGGTGGCTCTTGGCATCCTCTGCAGCCAGCCCCTGTCCTTTGCTGCAGGTGAGGCCCCTTCCAGAACCCTTGTTGAGTCAGCCAAGGAGGCCAAGGAGAAGGCAAAGGAGACGGCACTAGCAGCTACAGAGAAAGCCAAGGACCTTGCCAGCAAGGCAGCCACCAAGCAGCAGCAGCAGCAGCAGCAGCAATTTGTGTAGGCAGCCCAGACCTTGGTGCAAAAGCACGCCAGACCACCCGCTCAGATCCCTCTGCCTTTCTTCCTTGTACTTTATTATTAAAAGTCAACTTCCAGCCCTATCTACTGTCTGGATGCCGCCCAGGGGGTGGTATCCTGTTTGGCATCCACAGTGTACCGGCCATGGTATCCCGTGTCTGAGCCCAGCCTGCTTATTTCCCGGAACTGGGCAGCTGTGGACAGAGCCCCCTGGGTGGAGTGACTTGCCCAGTGTCAAAGGCAGCATGCAGGTGAAGTGGTGAGATGCTAGACTGTAAGCTCCATGAGGGCAGGAACCTTTGTTTTGTTCTCTGATGTGTCCCAAGTACTTGGAACAATATCTGGCACGAAACAGGCACTCAATAAATACTTGTTGAATTCAGTCAGCCCCAGCTCAGGGGTGAGAAAGCTTTGGTTTGCATCTTGACTCTACTGTTTCCTGGCTTTGGGTCACAGGCCAGTCACATCACTCAGCTTCAGCCCTGCCTGTGAAGTAGGGTCAGAGGAACTCTGAGCTGGGAGGATGAACTGGGCACTGCCTGGGCCGTCAGCAGCAGTGGTGTTGGTGGCTGCTGATCACATTTCCTTTTTTCCAGTTGTCTGTGAGTTCCCCCATTTCATCAGGCAAGAACATAGACCAGAAGTTAAAAAAGAGGTTTTTAATGAAAATACTGTACAGGATCTGTGGGGCAAACGCCGGAGACCTTGTCTAGGAAGGAACTCCAGGCGGCTTCCTGCTCCCATGGGGACAGCAGAGCCAAGTGCTACCAAAAAAAAAAAAAATTCCTGGAAGAGTGGCCCAGGCCCAAGCTGCCTGCCCTGCAGTGCTCAGGGGAACCCAGACCACTCCCTCTCCCCACCAACAACCCCAAGATGGACTGCAGGCAGTAGGGTAGGGGGAGCACCAGTTCCCACGCCAGGGTCCTTTTAGTCCTTTCCCAGGTGACTCCTAGCAGCCCCAGGAGCTTGGGGAAGGCTTCTGCCTGGCAGAGCCCAGGCAAGTTGAGGGTCATAGCCAGGTGATGCCACTGTGTGAATAACTGTGCTCCTGGCCTGCACTGAAGCCCCGCAGCAGCTCGGCCTCGCTTCCGAAAACCAGGCTCTCCACGTCCACTTCCAGCTCCTCTGCACAGGGAGGGGACAGTTAGATGAGCTGGTTCCCAAGGCCCACACCCCATGGCTTCAGGGCACTCACCTTGGTCTGAGTCCCAGCGCTCAGAGGAGAGGCCTGAAGAGTCCAGGCTGTCTGCCCGCAGCCGCTCCCACTCACCAGCCCCTGCCAGGCCCTGGAGTTGTTCTAGCTGCTGCCGTAGGCTCTGCTGCCTGCTGCGCAGCTTTTCCTTGAGCCTCCGGGCCCGCTGTTCCTGTTCCTCTAACTTCTGCAGATCCCAAAGGAACACAGAGTCAAAAGGTCAGCTGTCTGGGGGTCAGGCCTCACCCCAACACCACTCCGTAGCTTGTCAGGGCCACTTAGAGACTGCCTGTTCAGACCAGGGGTTCACTAAGTGCCGGCCCAGAGGGTGGCTCCCATATCCTCCAGGAAGCCAGGCCTCCCGCCCACAGAAATAGCCTGTGAGTGTCCTGGGATGCAGGGAGAGGGCACCACTAGCTTAAAGGCCTTGGAACATGCTGGTGTCTGTCACTAGGAAGAGGCAACTGTGGCATAGTACATCTGGCAGGTGTTCTCTGGCTCAGGGAGGCAGCCACCACCAGGTCCAGCAAATAACTACCCCATGGAAATAGACACAGTGCTGCTGGATTTCCCAAATCCTTAAAGAGAAGCTGCAAAGTAATGTTTTCCACATCAAAAGTCCTTTGAAGTGCTGCCAACTCAAAATTTTAGAAAACTACAGGCTGAACAAAGGCTACCAGTTTGTAACCCCTCGTCAACATTCTCCCCGGAGCTTGAATACTCAGCACCAAGCCTTGCCCAGCTCTGCTGACCCTGATTTCCAGGAAATGGCAGGAGAGCCAAAAGTTCTGCCATCAGACCCCACAGGACAGAAGCCTGCAGTCAGCACGAAGGGGAGAATTGGGTTGGGGTGACATTTGGACTGGCTGTGGAAAACCGCCTAGCCAAAGATGGGCGCGGAAGCATGCGGGAGAGGGAACTTGGGAAAAGCGAGGCAAATTTAGCTTTTTGGGTGGATAATGGAGAGAGGGGAAACCAAAAGCAGGCCAATGGCAAGGCCTGATCTGTGAAGGCTTTGAGTGCATCACAGGAGCAAACTGGGATTGTCCTGTCAAGAACTAAGGAAGGTTTTCAGCAGGAGACCGACCTGATTTTTCTGAATTGCAAAGAACATTCTAGTTATAGGTGGAGGACAGCATGATGGAGGTAAAACAGGAAGCAGGGAGGCCAGGAAAGGGGTGATGAGGCTTTGAGGAAGGAGGTTCCATAGGTCCTGCCCATAAGTCTCACCTACCTGAGAACCAGGCCAGGCAAACCCTGTGTGAGAAAGTGGGGCCTGAAACCTGGTCAGCATGTTATCCAGCCACAATGAGAGGAATGCAGGCACCATGGGAGAGTGTGAACAGTTTCTACACTGATTGATTTGCAGCATGGCACAGGCATCTGTCTCTGCCATGGCCCCCTATACTTAGAACAGGCAGAGCAGGCCCTAAGCAAATAAAAAAATGCAAGTCAGGAGCCTGAGCCTGGGTTTTGCATCTGCCTCCTATGTAGCCTGGTCCTTAGCCTGGCTGTGCTTTCATTTCTTCCTCTGTCAAAAGGGCCTGGAGACAGTAAAAGGCCTCTATTGTTTTTAGAGCTGCTGCTAATCCCACATCTGGGACTGCCTGGGGTTTTCACACAGGCAAACCCCATTCCTCTCCATCAGGGGGCACAGCAGTTTGGAACAGCAGCAAGGACTCTGGTGAGAAAAGTGACTAGTCCCTTTGGGATCCTTTTCCCTCCCCTAGACTCTGGAAAGGGGCGATTTGAAACAGGAGGACTTGATGGATGCGGAAGAGGGAGAGCTGGGATCAGCTCCCCAAAGTCCTGGGCAACCTATCAGAATCTTTTCAATAGCCATACGGAGGAGCTAAGTGACTTGCCCAGGGTCTCTTGTTGGAATCAAGTAATAGGTGTAATAACAACAATGAATATGTACTGGGCAAAATCAGGTACGCCTCAGAACAATTTTGAGTTATTTTCTGCCTTTTTCCCATTTAACTAAATTGGAAACTAAAGCACAAAAAACCGTCTAGTGACACGCAGATCGGTTGTGACCTCAGTTCTCTCGCCAGTTCCACCCAGTCCCTTCACACTACACTTCACCCATCCTGACAAGCTGGCCCAGAGCAGAGGGATAGGCCCTTACCCTTACCTGGATGTGCATCCTAGCCCGGCGCAGAAGGCTCAGTGTGGTGTATCGGGCACAGTCGGCTCCCAGGGGCATCTGCTGCTTCAACTGCTCCAGGCACCGTTTTAGCTGGGCCCTCCTGTGGGGGAAGGGATCTGGAGGGCAGTGCTGGCCCAGCCTTGCTGGCCAGAGGGATGGCAAGGGGAGGTAAGGCTAGAGGGAGGCCATTCCCAGGGCCTGATACAGTTGGGTCAAGGCTGGGACTCACCTGCGCTTTTCCAGCTCATTGTGCACAGACCTGCCAATGCCAGAAGATGAGATGAAGGAGTGGAGCCACTGCCCACACCCACAGTCCCAGGGTTCCTAGAGGTCTCAAAATCCACTTCAGATGTCTGAAACTAGCCCAATGTGGGGAGCTTGTGCTGACCTGGGGCACCTGAGACCCCAGACACACAGGGAGCAGAGGGGGGCTGCCGTGTCCCTACCAGGCTGTCAGGGTTGAGGCTGAGCCCAGAAACACAAGTTATCCAAAGCAGGTAGAGGCATTTAAAGTGAGAAGAACAGAATGCAAAGAGTTGAGAAGAGTGAAAGGGAGGAAGCCTGTGCGGGGAGAGCTAGTTGTTTCATATGTGGAGTGGGAGTGTGAGGGGAGCCAGAGCCCAGAACTGTCCTGCTCACCGTTCCTGGCACGAGAGTGTGTGTGTGTGGGGGGGGGGGGGTCCTGGATGATATGGCAGGAGGGGCCTGAATGCCACCAAAGCAGGGTACCTGGGTCAGAAGATGCAAGCAACAGGGAGGAAGTGGGCAGAGGAGGGGCCCTTACAGGGATGGTGCCCATCCCCCCCATTCCTCGTCGCCCCCTACCCTCCTCACCGCCCACCGTCCAGCGCGCCAGGAGCTTGAGGGCATCGCTTCCTCCTCCTGTGGACCGGGCCCGGACTGCGGTGCGGACACAGGGATGCGTAGCCATGCTCGGCCTCTGTCAGAGAGAGCCCCGGCCCCAGTCAGACGCGGCTGGTCCAGCGAACACCCCTGGCACAGCGCGGTCAGGTGGGGGCTTTGGGCGCCAGGGCCAAACGCCCAGCCGTTCCCAGCCCGCCTCCTCGCCAGCCTCCCTGGAGTTGCGGACACAGGCGCCGGAGCTACTCCCGAAGGCCACGCGTCCTTCAAGTTGGGAGCCAAGTCCGAGCCAGGCCGGTGTCAGCGGGAGAGCCGCCCGGGGTCTGGCCAGACGCGCCTCCTCACCTCTCTCGCGGCGCTCCAGGAACTCGGCCGCCTGCAGCAGGACCTGGATGTTGCTGGCCACGGCTTCCATGTCGGCGACAGCCGCGGCGGGGCGCGGGGCGCTGGCCGGAGGCGCGGCGGCTCCACTTTTGTTACAATGTAACTGACAACGGCGCAACAAACACCGGCGCCGGGCCCGCCCCCGGGACGCCCCGCCCCGCCCCCGGGACGCCCAGCGCCGGGCCGCGCCCTCCGCGGCCCGCCGGGGAGCAGCAGCGCATCCCCGCCCGCGCGCCCCTCGGACCCCGCGGAGCCAGTGCCCGCGCCCGCCCGCCCGGCCGCCCGCCCCGCCCGCCCCGCCCGCCCCGCCGCGCCGCTAGTGGGTTCTGCGCTTTGCTCGCTCTGCTCAGCGCCCGCGCCGCGGCGCCTCTGGCTCTCAATTCCTAGCCCGGCGCTGGCGGCTGGGGCCCCGCACGTGGAACGGTGATTTGGGGCTGTGGCCCCCGGAGGCCGCGCGCCCGGCCCCTGCACGCGGGCGCCCTCGCCCCTCCGCCGCCTCCTCCCGCGCGGGCGGCGCCTCGGGGCGGGGCGGGGCCGGGCCGGGCCGCGGAGGCGCCATTGGTTGCGGCGGGCCCCGCCCCCCCGCGGCTGGGCCTCCCGTTCGGGCGGGAAAAGGAGCAGGTTTCAAATTTGAAAACCGGGGCAATTGGGGCGGGGTTGAGCGGGGAGCGGACCCACAACGCGCAGGCGCCGGGGGGCGCAGCGTCTCCTCCTGCCTTAGCTGGTCCGTGCGAGCGTCGTCAGGCCCCAGAGGCCGCTCGGGGCCGGCGCTCACCGTTGTGTCGAGCAGGGGGTGGCCTCCCGGGTCCTCCTCCTCATCTACGGGGAATCTGTGGTTGCTGGGGAGACGTCAGAGGGTGCCAACTTCCCGAGACCCACTGGAGAACTGGCTTTCTAAAGAGCCAGGAGTTCTGCAGCTGAAGGAACTGGGTTCCTCCCCTGACACCGCTCCTGTTCAGCTGTGTGACTTGTGAAGTGACCTCCCTCCTGTAAGCTCGGGAAGCCCCTTGCCAGTGTTGTAGAAGGGTCTTCGCCCAGGATCTGTGTGCCCTGTGTGTAGGAGTGCTCGTGCAAACAAGCTTCTTCCTCCCATTGAGCCCCTGGCTGCTCTGGCCATGAACCCTTCTTACATGACTTGCTAACCTTCCAGAGAGTAACTGCAGTGACTTCTAGGGGCAACATCCGGCATGTGAGGCCACACCGGCTGGAACAGTCTGTCAAAGGGTGGTGACAGGAAGATGAAAGCAGCTGTTACGGGTGGAGCAGTGCTGTTGGGCTGGGCCTGAGTTTGTGACCGCAAATGGAACAGAGAGAGCAGAGTAGATGCTTTGAGATACTGTCCTGGGTAAACACAGGACACATGGTAGTCAGTCCTCAGTTCTTTGGGGGGGGTTGGGGAACTTAAGAGTTTCTGTAAGAGTCACTCGCAGGGAAATCTCTGACATGCTGCGCCTGAACATGATGCCTGGGACCCATTCACTCAGGAAACATTTGCTGAGCAAGTACTGGACCCCAGACACTGTGCTGGGGGCCGGAGAATACAAAGATGGACAAAACCAGACTGGGTTTCAGCCTTTGCAGAACGCACCCTAGGGCAGAATGACCTATACAGTAATCTCATAAAGGTAGAGAGCTTTGACAGGTCCCACAGGAAAAGACCCAATGTGAAGGCACACCCTAAGAAGCCCTGAAACTTATCAGGGAGCTCAGCTAAGGCTGGGGAGTTGAGGGGAGGAGTAGATGAATAGGTGTTGTTGTGTATAGGAGGGAAGTGGGGGAATTCCAGACAATGGAACAGTATATGGAAAAGTCTTGAGGTTGAAAGTAATGTATGCATCCTAAAAGACGGTTAATGTAGCTAGCATAGAGAAAGCGAAGAGTGTGGTATAGGTTGACCGTAGCGAGGCTTGCAGGACCTAGAACAGGCTGGCAAGACCCAAACCCTCTCGGGCAACCCTTATATCTGAAGAAAGGTGTCATAAGTCTAGTGAATGAATTATGCATTTTATTTCACTAAGTCAACACCCATGTGGAGTGAGACAATGGGACCCAGGTATCCTGGCCTTGGAGTGGGGGTAGACCAGCAGTGACTGCTTTTAGAAACTGTCCAAACCCCCAGCTTTCTAACCAAAACATTGGCGTCCCATGGACCTCCTGCCAGTTCCCCATCCCTGAGCCTGGCCTGCCCAAGTAATAAAAGATATGCTGGCTGAACATGTTGTGTCAGGGACTCGTATTGTCTGTACTCCAAGGGACAGAGGCTGCATCTGTGCCCTGCCTGATTAAGGTGGACCCTTAAAGAGGGCAACTTGTAGGAAGGAGTTCCTTCCCCAAGCTCACCTCTCCCACCATGTAGATAGGATACTCTAGAAGTTGGGTTCCTCTATACCCCAAAGACCTATTCACTTTCTTCCTTGCAAATGGGAGATGCAGAGGTGAAGGAAGGGGGAGTAGGGGGATATTGCAGAAGCAGGACTCAGACCCCGGCTCTCTGGCCCCAGCTTCCCTACTTTACTCACCTCCCCTCATCCGAGAGAGGAGCATTCCTTAACCAGGCGCTAACCTGGGCCACACCCCTACTGAGCCCCACCAGCCCTGCATGAGGTCCCCATGGCCTTCAGGACAAAGTGCAAGCTGGGCTATGCCCCTCCTCCTGCCCTATCAGGGGACAAGCCTCTGTCAGCTTGACTCAAATCTTACCTCCTCCAGGAAGTTCCCTGGCCTTCCTGCTTCAGGGTATCCTTCCCCAGTCAGCAGTCCTGTGTTCCTCAGGGTCAGCCTTCTCCCCCTGGACTGGGACTGCAAAGATAGAGGAAGCCAGTGCTGGGGAAGGCGTGGGAGCCTTGGTAGACCTGGGTGTCCATGCTCACAGGAGCTGGTGTAGCAGTTAGAGGACGCTGGACTTGGAGGCACTGCTGGAAGGCACCCCAGGGCTGTCAGGGGCAGTGCTGCACCATGATGAAAGGAGCCAGCTGATCCCTCCCTTGAAATTGCAGGGGAATAAGCCATGAGGCCAGACCTAGCTAGACTAAATCTCAGAAGTGGCTGAAAGTTCCAATTATCCTGGGGTGGGATCACAGGTGAGGCTGCTGTAGGATCTGTGTTGTCTCCACTTTTATAATTCCTGCGTTCTCTGGTCTGTCCACTTGCCATCCATCCCCAGAGGCCCGGCCTCCTGGGTCCTCCTCATCATCATCTATAGGGAATCTGTTGTTGCTGGAAAGACATCACTTTCTTCCCCCAGCCCCTGCCTAGATAAGTTTTGCTAGGAATTTATCAATTTCATTAATTTTTAAATTAATTTTATTCTTTTCAAAGAATCAACTTTAGATTTAATTTGTTGCTTTGTTCATAACTTAAGATAGAAATGTAGAAAATTCATTTTATTCCTTTTCTTCCCCTGCAAATTGCTTTAACTGCATCCTACAAACTTCGATGTGTTGTGGGGGTTTTTTTTGTTTTGTTTTTCATTGAGATGGAAACATTTTCAAATTCCTCTTCAAAATAGTGCTTTGACCTGAAACCTGTGGGTAATTTGAAACTTGTTCCTTAATTTCCACATATCTGTGCATTTTCTAGAATTTTTTTGTTATGTGTTTATAATTTAATTCAATTGTGGTTAGAGAATTTGCAGTTATGATTTTGCTCATTTGAAATTTATCAAGGCTTGTATATGATCTGTCTTGATGAGTGTCCTGTATGCACGTGAAAATAACGCGTTTGCTAGTTGTTGTGTATTGTTCCAAAAACGACAGTTAGATTAAATTTGCTGAATGTATTTTGGAAAAAAAATTATATCCTTACTGGTTTTATCTGTTTGTTTCATTAATTACGGGAAGGGCCTACCTGGTGGCGCAAGGGATTGAGTCTGAGCAACATGAAACTATCCACAGCAGCTGCAGCTCGAGTTTGATCCCCGGCCAGGGAGCTACCCACATGGCGCAGCAGACCTTTCCTGACTCGCCCGCTGCTCCCCTCAGCAGTGTATTTCAGTCAATCCACCTGTTCTGCTCCCCACTCTGTCTCTGGTGAATCCTTTCACACCCTGTACCTCTGTCCTGTACCCCAGTTCTTGTATGCATAGGTAAATAAATCTTTAAAAAAAAAAATTACAAGAGCCAAGATGAAAATGCACACATTGTACAAAAATGAAAAATGATGTGAAAAATATATAAAATTAAAAAAATTACAGGGAGACAAGAATTAAAGTAACCATCTGTGCTCATAGAGATGTCCATTTTTCTCTTTAGTTCTGTCACATTTTATTTACATATTGTGAAATTCTACTATTAGGTACATATATATTTATGATTGTTATATCTTCTTGATGATTTCTTTTAATATTATGAAATATCCCACTTTATCTTTGGTACTCTCCTTTCCTTTAATACTGCTTTGATATTAATAATCACAACAGCTTTCTTTTGATTGGTGCTTTCATGGTATGTTTTTCTTTTTCTTTTATTTTTTTTAAAGATTTATTTATTTATACATACAAGAACTGGGGTACAGGTCAGAGTTGTGGGGGAGGGTGAGAGGATTCACCAGAGACAGAGTGGGGAACAGAACAGGCAAATGGACTGAAATACGCTGTTGAGGGGAGCAGCGGGTGAGTCAGAAGAGGTCTGCTGTGCCATGTGGGTAGCTCCCTGGCCGGGGATAGAACTTATGCTTCAGTGGCTGTGGCGAACTTCATAGGTTCATCTTAACCTCTTGCGCCACCAGGGAGGCCCCTCATGGTATGTTTTTCCCCCATCGTTTTGCTCTTAACCTCTCAGTATCTTAATAGTTAACATACTTTTCTTGCAAACAACATATGGTTGGGATTTTCCCCACTGTTGCCTGATAGTCTATACTTTTTAATTACACTTAATAAAATTCTTTTGATATGGTTGGGTTTACGGTATATCATTTTGATTTTATTTTATATTTGTCTCATCTATCCATTTCCCCTTCTTCCTCCTTTTTAGACTTCTTTGGGACTATTTGCAATTTTATTAGATTCCACTGATATCCACAATTGACTTCTTATCTCTAACTCCGCTAAGTGGTCTTTTAAGTGATTACTCTAAGAATTATAATAACATATCTTTAA